GACATTGACTGCAATCCCCACAATGTAACAGCTCTCTTCCCACATCCTCCCTCTGGTTACCCTTTCCCTGTGTCCTTCTTTCCTATGCATTCCTGCCCTCTGAGCTGTCTCCCTGTGCAAATGCTGCCCTTCTGATCTCTCATGATTGATTGTTCTAAGGAGTGTACCTGCCTGGTGTAAATATTCGTGTGAAGAAGTAATCATTTTTTGAGAGAAGACAATGAGCTCAGTCTTTAACACATTAAAGTTGTAGGTGCTTAAGCAAGATGTTCTTTAGAACATCTGGAAACTGGAGCATCATTTTAGTGGGGAGGAGACGGAGACACTGAGTAAGTAATTGTCCCAAGTTTATATACCCAGGCTGTGGGTGGAATTGAGGTTCTTCCATGTTAGTGCATCACCCACTATATACCTAAAACGAAGGAGAACGAGAGGTCAGGGCTCTGACAGGATTCTGTCAGAGGCACTAATGAAACACTTTGTGCCATGAACATAAATGTCATGGGGACAGAGAAACCATCCACCAAAGATTTCACAACAGACCCACAGAAATGAAAAGTCAATGATTAAATAACATGGGTCTCAGAGTACCTTTCAAATCATGATACTTTATCTTCTATATACAGAGATCAGAGTAAACCCTGCAAAAAAGGTTAATGTTTAAGCCCTTTTATTCTTGCATCCTTTTTAGTAGTGGAAAGCCACTTTGGTGGTGCTAGTGTGAATCATTGCCATCCACAATGAATTCTCCCGCTCTCATCTTCTTTGCAAGTTTTCTTTGCCATGTTGCCATTGCAGGCCGAAGTAAGTACTTTGTCTTTTGCAAAAATAATTAATATATCCAACCTCCTACTATTTGTCAGAGATCGGTAGTCATAACTTTAAATTCCATTCTAGGGTGGGTGCTGAAGAGAGACTGGACCGATACTTATTCTTTAATCTACTCATGCTTAAAAGCTCCTTCATAAGATACTTGGCCTAAACTGGCTAAGCCTCAGTGTAGTCACCTGTGAAATGGGGATAAAAATAGTACCTACTTCAATGGGTTGTTGAGGCGATTTGGTGAGATACTGCATATGAAGTATTTGGTACAGAATTTGCCATATTCAATATTTTTCATTTGCACGCTCGCTGAACTGATACAATTCAAATACAGATTTTTTTTTTTTTTAACCAACTGCTCTGTGCTCTATTTCAGCCTGTCCCAAGCCAGATGATTTACCATTTGCCATAGTCGTTCCATTAAAATCGTTCTACGACCCAGGAGAGCAGATCACGTATTCCTGCCGGCCCGGTTATGTGTCCCGGGGAGGGATGAGAAGGTTTACATGCCCTCTCTCTGGCATATGGCCCATGAACACCCTGAAATGTCTACGTAAGTTGGGGCCTCCTCGTACAGTCTCTCCCCTCATTCAGATTCTGGGCATTCTTTGGAAAATCAACCTCATTATGCTTAGGGTGATGAGGGTGATGAGGGACAGCAGAGGCTGCAGACCGGAGAGACCGCTAAGAAACCA